TAGTAATAATAGTGATGATAGTAGTGGTAGTAGTAATAATAATAATATTAATGATATTGATAATAATAATTATAATTAAAATAATAAAAATAATAGTGACAATGAAACCAATAATAGTGATAATAATTGAAGTAATAATAATAATTTTTTATAAAAATAATAATTGCAATGATAGTAATAATTCTGATTATAATAATAGTAGTAGAAATTATGATAGTATTAGTAATATTATTATTAATAGTAATGGTAATGGTAATAGCTATAATAATAATATTAGCAGGATTGCAATAATGATAATGATAATAATAATAATAATACTACTAATTGCAATTATATTAGTGACAACAGTGGTGATAATAATAATTTACTAAAATAGAAATAATGTTGTTATTATTATTATTATTAATGGTGGTGGTGGTAATAACGATAACGATACTAATAATAATACTATTAATAGTAATAATAATGGTAATAATATTTTGTTATAATAGTAGTAGTAGTGATTATAAGAATAAAAATAATAGTAATAGTAATAGTAATAATAATAATAATTATTATTATAACAATAGCATTAACAATAATAATAATAACCATGATAATAATGATAGTGATATTGATCACATAAATAATAATATTAATAATAATAATAATAATAATGATATTATTTACTATTTATAATAATAATAGTGATAATTATAAGAATACTAATAGTAATAATAATAGTAATAGTAATAGTAATAATAATAATAGAAATAATAATAATAATAGAAATAAAAATATAAATAATAATAATGATAATAATTCATTATTTAATGTTAGATTTATTAGGAATTGAGTTTAATAAATTTTTTATAAATGGTATTTTTAATTTAATAATTTGAATTATAAATTTGAAAAGTTTACGACTTTTTTTTTTTACCTTTTATCTTATTTTTTTTATTGATTAACATTAATTTTTTAAAATAAAAAAAGGTCATTTAAGTTTTTTTTATACTTATTGAATAAATCAATTCATGTTCAGTTAATTTTTATATAGTTTAATTGTATACTGCATAGTAGATAAAAATTGAAATTATGGAATTTAAAAGTTTATCTTCTTATTCAGGTTTAATAACATTAAAAAATCCTCATACCTTTTTTTAAAATTTTTTTTAACAATTGCGGTAAAATAAACTAATTCTAGCCAAAGAGCTTCAATTGAGACTTGAGAGCATCGGTGTAGAAGCTCTTATAGTCCCTTGTAGTCCGAAGCCACACCAAAAACTCACAATATAATTATTATTAACAAAAAGTTGAATAAACTTTAAAGAATTTACTTGATAATGAAAAATAATTATACATATAATTTATCATCTTTTATTATCGATAATTATAATAATTTATTAAAGAAAAAGCTTCTGATAATATTTTATCACTTCACAAGAAACTAAAAATTTATAAGCTTGAAAAACCCTACCGCCAGGTTTATAGAGCATTATTTTTTTGAATAATTAACAAGTCCCTGCTCCCTGCTCCGCTAAGTGAACACCACCATGAGATTGAAAACCTACCGCGGCCAGATCCTCCTCCCTACAACAACCACCGCCATACTCATCCGCCGGTACGGAACAAAATATACAGCGAAAATAACCTCAACATCACCAACGGGAAGAACAGTCTCAGCTCAAGTAACCCCACCTCAACCTCTTCCCTCCGACTCCCGTGGCTACTCAATCCCCCGCCGTCAACTCATCTGCAAAGCCACCCAAATTCTCCTCCAAACCCACCGATCTCCCCAAAAACTGCTTGACCCCACCGACCCTTTCCTTTGCCTCCAAAACTACCTCTCAGCCCTCTCTATTTCCCTCACTCCCAACGAAGCCTCCGAGATTCTCAAATCCCTGAACTCCCCGGCTCTCGCTCTCAGGTTCTTCCACTTTTGCCCGTCCCTTTCCCCTAATTTCCACCACGACTGCTTCACCTACTCTCGCATCATCCTTATCCTCTCCAAATCCAACCTCCCCGATAGGTTCCACCTCGCCAGGTCCATCGTATCTGAGATGGAGAGGAATGGGGTTCGTGGGTCAATCTCCACCGTTAATATATTGATTGGTTTTTATGAGAATAGTGAGGACCTGCAGAAGTGTATTGGGCTGATAAAGAAATGGGGATTGAGGATGACAGGATATACTTACAAGTGCTTGGTTCAAGCTTATTTGAGGTCACGCAATACTGAAAAGGGTTTTGGCGTTTATTTGGAGATGAAGAAGAAAGGCCACATGCTTGATATTTTTGCTTATAATATGCTCTTGGATGCCTTAGTCAAAGATAGCGAGGTTTGATTTTTATGAATTTATTTTTGTGGGTTTTTCTTTGTTTTAAAGAGAAGGAATAATGCTATAATTAACATAGAGAAATTGAATCGATAAAGCTAATTTATTGTGTATGTGGCCGGTGCTTGTGTGAATTGCAGCATTGCTGCTCTGTTTGATGATTGTTTGCTGATTAGCTGATATGCAGCATTTCGACAGGTTGACCATGCTTATAAGGTTTTTGAGGACATGAAAAGGAAGCATTGTGAGCCAGATGAATATACGTATACCATTATGATTAGAATGACTGGAAAGATTGGTAAACCTGATGAATCATTGGAACTCTTTGAGGAAATGTTGAACAAGGGCTACTCTCCTAATTTAATTGCTTATAACACCATGATCCAGGCACTTGCTAATGCCCGGATGGTGGATAAGGCCATTCTTCTTTTCTTGAAGATGGTGGAGAAAGAGTGCCGGCCTAGTGAATTTACATATAGCGTCATCCTCCATCTTCTGGCTACAGAGAGGAAACTTCATAAGCTGGATGAGGTTGTGGAAGTGTCAAAGAAATATATGAGTAGGTCAATATATGCATATCTTGTAAGGACTCTGAAAAAATTGGGCCATGCAAGTGAAGCTCACAGGCTGTTTTGCAACATGTGGAACTGCCATGAAAGGGGGGATAGGGATGCATGTGTGTCCATGTTGGAATGTTTATGCAGTGCTGGTAAAACAACAGAGGCCATTGACCTGCTGGGTAAAATTCACGAGAAAGGAGTAAGTGTTGATACAGTCATGTATAATACAGTATTCAGTGCACTTGGCAAGTTAAAACAAATATATCCTCTTCATGATCTTTATGAAAAGATGAAGCAAGATGGTCCTTTGCCTGACACATTCACCTACAATATCCTGATCTCAAGCTTTGGTAGGGCAGGGAAAGTTGACGAGGCTATTAAAATATTTGAGGAACTTGAAGATAGTGACTATAAACCTGATACATGCTCTTATAATTCTTTGATAAATTGCCTTGGGAAGAATGGTCATCTTGATGAAGCTCACATGAAGTTTAAGGAAATGTGTGAAAAAGGATTGAATCCTGATGTTGTGACATACAGCACTCTCATAGAGTGCTTTGGAAAAACGGATAAAGTTGAAATGGCTTGCAGGTTATTCGATGAAATGCTTGCTGAAGGTTGCTATCCTAATATTGTAACTTACAACATCTTACTTGACTGTCTTGAGAGGAGTGGAAGGACTGCTGAAGCTGTTGATTTGTATGCAAAACTCAAACAGCAAGGTTTAATCCCTGATTCAATTACATATTCAGTGCTTGCACGATTGCAAAGTGATTCACATAGAAAAGTTAGAGCTCGCAAGCAGAATCCTATTACAGGTTGGGTTGTTAGCCCATTAAGGTGAGAAGGATAATCGTGATGGCCCCAAAGTTGGTCCTCAATTTGTTTGTGGCAATTTAGATGACCTGCTTCTTGGTGATTACCAATTTCCTGTATGCTTTGGCGAGGCGCTGTATTGGTTTGGGATTGGATCCTGAATTCCAATGGATGATATTTTCTCTATCAAAGAAGAGCAGCCTCAACTGTTGCAAGTATTACTGCATCTTGGGGAAATAAAGTTTATCCTATTCTTTTAGCAAGAATGAAGCTAACTTCATATCACGAGATTCTTGATACCATAGAACCGACTTACAGGAAGCTGTGGGATTCTGGATACTGATTCTAACCTGAGAAATTGCAAGGCTTGGGATTTCCTCGGATGAAATCTGCAAGGCTTGGTGTCCTTGGAATGTTATAGACTAGAAATAGTTTTTTTTTTGGGCTAATTTTTCGGATGCCTTCACTGATTTTTAATGTAAATAAAATTCTCGTTTAATGATTGAGAAAATTGCTATTTTTAATCTGTAAGGCTTGGGATTTTCCAGTATGATACTCAAATTCTGTAGGTTTGAGGCATCCTCGTCAGGCTAAAGCTAGCTGACTGGAGAGCTGGCTAGGTCTGTTCCTCCCTTGGAAGTACCCCATGCAGGTTTTTCCTTCCCATCTTCATTGCCCTGATTAAGTTGAACCGGGAAAGCTGAATCAAAAGTTCTGGAAATTGTTTGATGATATTCTTTGAAGCATGATCAGTATGCTGTGACTTTTTTCCCACCTGTACTGGAAATTTCCCTGAGTTGAAATTAATAGTTTCATTTTCTTGTTTTGCAGTTTTAAAGAGGCTTATTTTGTTTGGTTGATTAATCCTGCAGCCTCCATAGGCTTGTATCTTGACCGCGGTTCTGTCTATGATATCTTGACTGCGGTTCTGTCTATGAGAGCCCATTTCATGCAGGGCCACACGCTCTGCTTGAAAGAATGGCATTCAAGAGTACTAGAAACAGGAGTCATTTGTGCATTGTCAGGGAAGTTGTGGCAATCGCAGGTAGTGTAGCCGCTTTGGCTTCGAGAGAACAGATGGGGTAGACTTTTGATGCTCTTAGGACATGCTCCTGAATCCTGTTTTCTATTAAACATGGGGAAAAATACGAGATTGATTGTGATTTGTGAAGGACTCAAAGTTAAAAAAAAGACTCAAAGTTGAAGTACGAGGAGTGGATATACCATTAATGAATTGCTGCACTTCAATTCAACGATAGCAACGTTGTACTAGTCATGAATTAAAAACCATTAAGGAAATATAAACAGCTAGCCTCGAACAATGTCAAAGCTTTAAATGATATCACTTCCTTCGGTTATTCACATCAACATAAATATAAATTTCTTCAAAACGAACTATATATAAGAATAATTCAAAGCTTTAAATGATATGGCAATATCAATCATCGGCATTCTGCAACAACCATCAACGATTTTGCTTTTGCGGGGCACGGATCGCCACCAAACCGCCGTTCTGATACTGGAATGGAACACTTCATCTTCCCTAGACATGCCTGGAAAGTTGCATAGAGAAGGCATATTAATAGTTTCATTTTCTTGTTTTGCAGTTTTAAAGAGGCTTGCTTGAGTTGTTAACATGAACATCAAATGCAAGAAGGCATATTAAGATAAAATGCACAAGGCTCATGTACTAGAGTCTCGAACATCTTACAGCTTGATTTTTAAAACTCTTGAGCATTGATTGATGCAATATTGAAAACAAATACTTTGATGAAATAACTGACCTCTTCGACAACAGCTTTTGAGTTTTGGGAGTGGCAAGTTCCAACAGCCAAGGAATTTCTACAGTTACCAAGTGGGGTTCCATAGCTTGCAAACGAAATACGCGAAATCTTGCTTTTTGAAGGACAAGCTAGCTGTACTTTAGGTCTTCTTCCACTGACCTTCGCAGGATTTTTATATCTTTGGTTATGTTCTGTCCATGAAGATACTGGAGCCAAATGAGAAGCAGTCACATGACCGCACACCTGTGAGATTGAGACAGTGTCCAAGGATACCTGGAGGGGGTTCCCACCCTTCTCTTCCTGTAAAACTAATAGGTTTCCTGCAGGTTTGAGGAATGATCTTGGCACATTATACCTAAGATGAAAAGTGGTTAGGCATATATATTAGGTAACATTCAGGACCTTTACACTTGGGGTAATGAAATCTACGTTCTAAAAGCAATTGTACAAGCTATTTTAATGGTGACCATCTTTTCAGCAATTTGTTTTTAGCTTCAAGGAAGCTCAGCTACCAAATTCCCATGGAGTATTTTCAGACACAACATCTGAGAGTGTGTGTAACATGTACGTGTGCAATTATTTCGACAAATTGAGTTGGGAACTTCAGGATCACTAAGAAATAATGCTGTAAAATGCCATGGCTGCCTCTTTATGTCATCTTCAGCAGTAAATTTAACTTTGAAAGAATGTACCAAAAGCATCTGATACTACAAATCACGTACCAGGTCTGTGCAGATCCATTCGGGGTACGATACGAGGGCCAATATCGACCAATACTTCGACCATTAACCCAAGCTTCTCCCTTTCCCATGGATGCAAGATTTAAGGCAACTGGGACATCCCCTGGAGGTGCATCAACCCGAGTCTGGCATATAAACAATCCACAAAATTGATAAGAAATAAATGAGAACTATTACATGAAACATTTATACATTATATAAATGAGATATTAAGTTCTATTTAAAAAAAAAAAAAAAATGGTTACCTTGTACCATGTGAGTGGATTTCCAGCGACTGAAAACTTTTTCCACCGAACTTGGCTTGATCCTTGCTCCGTGTAAATTTGTGACGTCTCTCCCTGCAATCCTATCTGCATCAAAAAATAAGTAGTTATGAGTAAAGAGAGCAGAACAAGTCTAAAATCATTATTTGAAGTTAAGATGATTGAATTTGAAGTCATGCAGGAATAGCAAAGAAGAAAATGAGTTCAGGGAAAGAGCAGAAGACAGTACCTGATATCCCCATGAGTCGTTGGTGAAGTCATTATTGTCTTGTTTATCTCTAATCATCACGGTTCTCAGTCCTGCGGCTCTATTCTCCAAAAATGCTCCTGAATCCTTTACACCATTGGAATAAATTTCAAGGTGCACTGAAATTTCTTTAGCATGTGAAGAAGTAATTTCTTTAACTGTAAAATCTGGTAGTGCGAGGAAGGTGGAATTTGAATATTACCGGCATTCCAACCATCACGCTCAGTAAGGAGACATTGTTAATCCCTTTACTCAAAGAAACACTTGTTTCGAATTTGAACCTTGGATTCTTATGGCTTCCTTGAACAGATCCTGAAACACAACAAATCTATAAGTTGCTTGCTTTGCTAAATTTTGGACAGTAAAGAGGGAAGAATTTCACATAAAAGAGCAAACTCCAGATTCAAGAAGTTAATCAATATTTATTCTCTGTACCTGCAGTAATAGTTAAGAAATTATGTGTTGGTATCTTTCTTGGGTAATAAAATTTATTTTCACAAATGTATACATGGCCATTCCTAAATATTGACTCGTTTCTTTCGCATAGGTGAAATAGAGCTCACCTACTGCTTGTCCGTTGACAAATGCATGCAAAGCATGGCCAAGAGAGCTCACATCAAGTATGGTTTGTGTGTCAGATGACTCATGCTGAAGCCTTTTGATGAAAAAATGTAAACAATTCCAAAAATTAGTAATCAAAACAAGACAATTTGTGAACATTTTTCAGTTAAGCATTTACTTAAGATTTAAATTAAGAGGTCTTCATTTGAGTTGGATTAAAATGTGAACGTGTATGGTAATTGTAATCAAAGTTGATCACAAGATTAGCATAGTTTTTTCTCAAGCATTTCAAGTTCAGTCAAAGAACTGAATTCATTATTAATGTAAAATTGATTGCAGTATACCTGAGTGTGTACCAAAGATAATCAGATGAATCTTTCGTGGTATTCATCTGCTCTAATAAAGTTTCTGATCTTGTTGAGGTGCTGTCAAAGTTAGGGATTGCTTCGGTGAATTCCTGCCACATATCTGCAGCATCTAAAACCTCGCCTCTTCCCATAGTTCTTGCGGTGTATTGAGTACTGACCTGTTCAAGATTCAAGAGGTTCAAGAATGAAGCCTAACAATCACAAAGGTTTCAGCCAGTAAGTACTAAAAGTTGTTCAGTTTCGTATGAGGGCGAGGAAATGAGTCTTGCCTTCGCAGTATTGAAGGCAACGTTCTTGCAGTCAGGTAAGATGCTAATTGACATTGGAGGCAAGTCGTATGAGGCATTTCGAAAGGGAACTGATGCGGCATTTCTTGAGTCATTGTTTATGAGAAAAGCAGCACATTCTCCTGATACTGCATTAAAGATATAGGCCTACAATATGGCAGCACAATACAATAATGATTACCCTGTAGAGTTGTGCTGTTCTGCACAATTTTTTCATGAACCATCTGATTTATGGGATTCGTATGGCATTCCGCCAATGAGATTTCACAGAAAATTTGAGATACCTATTCAGATGTGTCAATTTCAACAGTACAAAATCTATTCTGTTTTGCATCCAAAAGAAAGAAAAATGCTTAGAATTCCTTTCTGGTGTCCTTACTTGTTGCTGTGGGCCTAGGTAGAAATTAACTTGCACTCCTGAAAGCAAAGGCGTTGAACATAGTTGTATTGCGGCATGCAACTCCTTGAGATGACCCCATTTTGGTTGTGTAGTCAATCCTAAATTTCATCAAAGATATGTCTGGTAAGATTTTCTGTTAGACAACACAGAAAATACTACGAAAGGTATAGAAGCATGCGAAAGCTTACCATACTCATCAAGTGGGGCTTGATCATAATAACTAGTTGTTACAAATGCAGAGGCTGTCCTCCCGAAATTGGTTCCACCATGATACTGAAACAGCAAATTAGGTCTTAGCAGAAATTGTTTCATGGTCTAAAGTGCATCCGAGAACAAATCATCAATTCTTCCAGCAGGCTGGCACATATATTTCATCTTGTATGCTTGTTGATATTACTTGCAGGGTGAGACTCATGTAAATGTGAGAGGAAAAAGCTTGTGAAGATACATATAGTTATCAGAGGACTGTAATACCATGTAGTAGTTCACAAAGCTTCCGTTCTTTGCAACGATAAATAATGTAACATGAAACGCAATGTCCTCTGCAGATCTTATTGGTGCATCCTCACCATATACTCGATAGCTAAAAGAGAAACATGGGAATCAATTCGGAGAAAATCTTTTGTATACCTTCTTAGTTGAACAGCTATAGTGCTCTACAAAGGAAGGGGAGGAAAAAGGCATCAGTACATAAACATATACTTACCGAGTTGTCCAATTCTCTGTCCATATTGATGGTTTATTTGGTGAGTTAGGACCAACAAATGTCTGTCCACATTTCATTCCATTGCATGAATTTATCTGCAAACTACACTCAATTAATGTTTCTTCATTATGATACAGGGTATATTGAGTTATAAAAATGTACGTATGTGTTCAAGGAAGGGTTTCAGAAGAACCTGTGCCCTATAATTTACAGTTTCCTAAAACTTGCAAGCTAGTTTGCACAAAAAGAAGACTAACCACATGACCAGGAGCATTATTTTGCTTGCACATAACCCATGGCACCCCAGTTTGAAGTCCCTCAGCCATTTGTGCTGCCCATTGGACATATGCTAGCCCCTCTTGACCATAAGCCTTCTGTACTGTGCCATATTCATTCTCGATCTATAATAAAAGTGAGAAACATTAGATCCTAATAATCTTCAACAGACATACCCACTCACATAGTTTCATTGCAAATTGAACCTGTGATAGTATGATTGGACCTCCCTGTGAAGCATACAAATTCTCTGATTTCATCATGCTCACTACTTTTGCAGTAAAGTTTTGCATATGTACCTGCCATGCCATCGATTAAATAAGTTGCCTTAAAAACAAAAAACCCTTGTATACTGTAGCTATTCACACACTGCCACAGATCTAACAGTTTTACCGACGAAAGTTTCCATCAGTATTTCCTCACACACAGTACAGTCTGGTATTTCTTACAACATTGTCGTCAACACTTTGAACCCTGTGAACTGTTAAGTCGATCTAGTCCTTGGGAATAAATGTCAGGATGCCATGCCAAGATATATACAACAAGTGATCTCAAGGAAAGATCAATTACCTTAAAAGGTTCATTGTCAGATCGAAAAACAATCCCCGGGATGTCATGCAGCCAGAATGGGAGCCCTCTGCAACACAATAACAATCTTTCGTCTATTAACTTATATATA